GCGTGAGTGAGTGAGTGAGTGAGTGAGTGAGTGAGTGAGTGTGTGTGTGTGTGAGTGAGTGAGTGTGTGTGTGTGTGAGAGAGTGTGTGTGTGTGCGTGCGTGTGTGTGTGAATACTGAAAGAAAAATTGATGTAGAAATTTTCACACAGAAATTGCTAGCAAATTTCACAATTAATTACAAAGAAATGGCAAGTAACACTGAATTATATGCTAAATTAAAAAATTAAATTAAAATTAAAGTAGAAAGTCATATTTATTGTAAAACGTACTCAACTAATCTGTTTTATTTACAACCTCAAAAATAAATATATAAATACATAATTACAGTGTAGATCGTATAAACAATAAACAAACCTATATAAACCTATATAATGAATAAAATGTAATGAACTTTTTTCAAGTGCTATTTATTCCAGAATATTCCTCAGCAATCTTCTGTGTGTTTTAGGTTTTAGTGTGGTTTGAGTCTCGGCTGATTTAAAGCTCGAGCGGCACACAGATCTCCTTCAGCATAAAGCTGCAGCCACTGCCAAGAACCCCACTTACTGAATCTGTACGAGCCAAATCATATAAAACACTCTCCACTGAACACCCATGAAGCGTGCAGCAGCATGAGAAAGCGTACGCGCGTCGCCGGGCCTGATGGGAAGAATGAAGCTGATTGGCTGCTGAGAGACTCGAGGACATTCAGGCCAAAAGCTGATGGATTTAAACGCAGACTATATTCATAATAAAACACAAGCTCATGTTCAGTTCTGGTCATTATTGATTCAACTTTTATTTTTAGCCAAACTCTGGAGGAGGGACGAAACCTTGTATAAAACTCCCCCTGCGTGATTCATTATTCACAACACTTTAACATTTAAAGAGAGTTGAGAGTTGTTTTGATCACAGAGGAAAATTTATCATTAAGATAAATTAATACGTTATTAATTTATTTAATTAATTTTGATAAGTTAACAAAATAAAATAAAATCCAAGTAAAATGAATAAATACGAATAAAATGTATTAAATAAGCTAAAATAAATAAATAAATAAAATAAAAATTATAAAGTGATACAACTAATACAGTTGTAAAATAAGAAATTTATAAAACCTATACAGAAATATATTTAAAAAACACTAAAACTGAAATAAAAATAAATTAAAACTAAATGATGTGTGTGTGTTTCTGAACCGCTGGGGTTTCTGGATAAACTACTGAGTTTGTGTATCTTTATAAACACACACACACACACACACACACTCTCTCACACACACACACACGAAAAAGCACATAAAATTTCTAAAAAAGCTTAAACTAAAATTAAAATGAAAACTGAAAAAAAACTCTAATTCAAAATATGAATAAATACTATAATAATATATAAATGATATTGAATTAGCATTATTTTTATAAAAAAATAATTAGTTAAGCTCAACCAAATGCGTAATAGAAGCAGGTGGAAACTACTGGAGCATCAGAGAGTCATGATGACGCACGTTTCTATCATCACATAATGATTCAGTCCTCAGTGACAGAGAAATGAGATTTGACTGTGGGCGGAGCTACAGCGCTACAAAAATCTGAACCACATGAACAACTAAATCACTCAATCATTCACCGCAGATACAGCAAAATACAACGAAACAAAATGCAATGAAATAACAATAAATGAAGCAAAATAAAACTAAACAAAAATTACATTAAATAAAAATGTAAAATGCTAAAAATGTATAAAATAAAATAGTAAAATACTAAAAATTAATAAAATAAAATAAAATGTAAAATGCAAAAAATGTATAAAATAAAATGCAAAATGCAAAAAATGTATAAAATAAAATAAAAATGTAAAATGCTAAAAATTTATAAAATAAAATAAAAATGTAAAATGCAAAAAATGAATAAGATAAAATAACACAAAATAAAACAAAATTAAAATGAAACAAAATTAAATTAAATTAAACTTAAATTAACAAATAAAATAACATAATAAAACAAAACAAAATTAAGTAATAATCTAAACAAAAAATAAATAAAAAAATGTATCACTGCATGTGATTCCAAAGGGGGAAAAAGTAGTTCGGTGGGTTGCAGATGTTGACTTTATGGTCTCACCTCCAGCAGTTCAGAGACGATAGGAAGCACCTCTGGGTTACAGATATCGATGGAGTCGTCTCTGTACGTCTTCTTCTTGTAACGGATATTCCCCAGGAGAAGGATCGCAGACAGTAAAGAAAAGATTCTGCGAAGAACAAAACCTGAGTCAAATCTCACAATAAAGCGAGCAGAAAACTGACAAATCCATCCAAACCCCGCCCCTTAATGTCACGTCAGCCAATCAGATGTCGGCAAACCTGAACGCAGAAAATGACTGACAGGCAGAGAGTGTGTCCCGTGTCTCACGGCACGCTTCAGAGCGTTTTGGTTTTATCGTGAGCTCGCTCAGGTATTCCGGCTGTAACTCACTGTTTTCTGGTGGCCGGCAGGAACCCCACCATCTCCATGGCCAGCTGCAGTCGCTCGAAGTCATGCTTCAGATCTTCACCTTCCACCGTGAAACAGTCCTGAGACGATCACAACAAACTGAGTGTTAATGAACCCTCAAACAGAGCCACATTTAACCTTTATCTCATGTTCATACTCATACAGGTTTGAAACGAGCCAATGATGACAGAAGATTTGTTTTTGCATGAATTATCCCTTTAATGAAGTGCAATAAAATAAGTGTTATCTGAAATAAAACATTAAAAAAGTACATTAAAATTAGATAAAAATTTATTATTTTTAATTATATTGTTTATGATTACTATTAAATTGATAATTATCATTAAATAATGATTATAATATATCATGCAGGAAATTTTTTTTGCATGAATTATCTCTTTAATAAAGTGCATGTAACAGGGTTATTAGAGTTAAATAAAACTAAAACCGTAAAAAATAAAATAAAAAATAATTTGCTACTTGAAAAATAAATTTTAACTGAAATAAAACAAAATGTATAAATAAATAAAATGATCTTAAACATATATTACAATTATTTTAATTAATTATTAATATCATTGTTTATGTTTTTTATTAAAATGTTAATTCTTATTAAATAATGACAACTTCAGCTAGTTGCCAAGGCAACATTTCTAATTTTCATTTAGCTTAACTTTATTTGAAATACAAATTTATTTTAAAAAAACTATATAAACATTAAAAAATAAACACACAAAAAACCTGTATCACTAAAATGATAAAAACACAATGAAATTTAACTAAAATTATATATAAATAATAAGAAAAAATATTTAATAAAAAAATTAAATAAATAAAAATAAAACCATTTAAAATACTAATAAAAACTATGATAGTATCTCAGTAATACTAAAATAACGAGGGTAGGTAAGCGGTTTAAAAGGACGAACAGAAACAGAAGTGTGCAGAGGAAGTGAGGCGGCGAGAGACCCACGACATCCTGTCGACCCTAACAACAGCCTGAGGTTAGTGATCGGATTACTGTGAGGGGTGTTACATGCCCACACACAGCTCAGAACCACCGTGAGGGGTGTTACAGGCCCACACACAGCTCAGAACCACTGTGAGGGGTGTTACACGCCCACACACAGCTCAGAACCACCGTGAGGGGTGTTACACGCCCACACACAGCTCAGAACCACCGTGAGGGGTGTTACAGGCCCACACACAGCTCAGAACCACCGTGAGGGGTGTTACAGGCCCACACACAGCTCAGAACCACCGTGAGGGGTGTTACAGGCCCACACACAGCTCAGAACCACCGTGAGGGGTGTTACACGCCCACACACAGCTCAGAACCACCGTGAGGGGTGTTACACGCCCACACACAGCTCAGAACCACCGTGAGGGGTGTTACAGGCCCACACACAGCTCAGAACCATCGTGAGGGGTGTTACAGGCCCCACTGTGAGGGGTGTTACATGCCCACACACAGCTCAGTGGTCCCACACACAGCTCAGAACCACTGTGAGGGGTGTTACAGGCCCACACACAGCTCAGAACCACTGTGAGGGGTGTTACAGGCCCACACACAGCTCAGAACCACCGTGAGGGGTGTTACAGGCCCACACACAGCTCAGAACCACCGTGAGGGGGGTTACACGCCCACACACAGCTCAGAACCACTGTGAGGGGTGTTACAGGCCCACACACAGCTCAGAACCAATCGCTGACAGTTACACCCGCTTCTCAAGCGGCTGATCCCATTAAAACTGATGCTCTGGGAACAAAAGAGCAGCACAAGTTTCTCTGGATGGCACAGATCAAATATAAAACTATTAAAACAAACACAACTGTGCTGAGACAGTGCTATTACAGTTTTGTTAATATTTTGAATCAGAATTAAATCACTATTAGATATTTTGAATTTTAAGTTTTAGTAACTTTTTGTTGTGTTTTTGTCATTTGTAGTAGTTTTTATTTATTGTTTTTTTAGTAAGTTAAACTAAATGGAAACGAGAAATGTTGCCTTAGTAATGAGCTGTAGTTTATTTTATTTTATTTCAGCTAATGATTTTTTAAGCTAACAATAATACCTCAGGTGATGTGTTTTTTATATTCTATTATAGTTATTGTCAATATTTTGAAATAGACTCGGTTTTCACTTTAATTTTAGTTTAGTTTAGTTTAAATTTTCATTCGTTTTTTAAAATGCTGTCTAGGTAGGCAGCGGACTGGGTTTTGGAGCGGAGCCGTTTATTTGTGCGACTGACTGACTCTGGTGCTGTGTGTCTACAACATCCACAAGTCAATTAAGACGTCTCAAATCGAGTCAAAACGACCGTCTCCCATTAAGCACTAGATTAAACGCTGCTAATTAGAGTTGGTCGTTTACTCACACCGACACAGATAATACAGTAGAAGAGACATGAAGAACACGTGAACAAACACTCACACACTCACACACTCACACACTCACACTCACACACTCACACTCACATACTTACACACACACACTCACACACACACACACACACACTCACAGTCACACA